TTTCTACACATCTGAGTTTTACTGCAGCGAAAGGAGAGGGAGGCAAACATGATCCGATTGGCTGAGAGGCCGAAATGTGGGCGGGGGTTTAGCTTTTAGCCTCACACTGAGAGGAGAGACGACGGCGGTCTCAGAACATCCACCCTAACCCCTCCATCACTATGTAGCCCGGGGACGATATAGCGGACTTCATGGTGCACTTAGTTCAGACAGATGATCACTACTTTTTGCCCCTCCCATAGGTCATGTGACTCCTCTCCCCTCACGGTGCCAGCGTCCATCTTTGTTTTCTCTTGGCCACAAAATCCCATGATGCTTTGCGAGGAGAGCTGTTGCAAAACATTACCAGACATATGTGCTCGTCCGTAGACATACATATAAGTGTAGACCTCCCATCAACCGCGTACACCTATGGGTGCTGACGTGATTTGGTGGCGCCATCTAGTGGCCATCGCTGGCTTCACTCACTGCAACGCGTTGCACAGGCACAGAAAAAATACTGATCAACTTTAACTCGCTGAATATTGCACTAATTTTCACGGTGCATTTAAACATTATTGGTGTTAAGAGTGATAGAATATTCTGAAAGGATGTATACATGTTGCAAAACACAGCCACTCATATATATTTTTAGAATTTTTTACTACTCTATACACAAATGTACACAAATACACATTACATGCATGTATGCATGTAATGTGTCTATGTAACACATAGTATATATGCGGTTAATTCAGTAGTGACTTCCAAAGCTCTGATGCTTTCAAAAAGTTGTCCCTGAGGAAAACAGTCTGTCGATTCAAACAAAAACACGCTGCATCCTTCTATTGCTCTGCTTAAAGTTGTAGGGGAGTCATATTTAAATGTCAAATAATTCTGGCTTAAACGTGTATATAAATGTACTCTTTATTAGAACTTATTGTCCCAAAAGTCAGAAAATTTCCATTTAAACAACAGTTTTAAAACCACAAGTAAAAAAAAAAAAAAAAAAGTATAGATCTTGATTTAATATCTTCTTCTACAATGCTTTTTCTTCTTAGAAGGTATAGATTTCATGTCTTATTCTAAAATAAGAGTAAAAAAAAATTTAAGGTAAAAATAAGTTAATAAATATGTTCATAAATATAGATAAAAGTGCTAAAAATCTTTAAAAACTTTGAAATATGCCTTTAGTGATTGCTTTCAGTGATAGATTAAGCAAACAGTAGCTAACACAGGCTGGTTTCACATCAGCCAATAAGATTACTTGTCCCGCCCCTTTAACTGCTGTTCTGGGATTTTGCTCGGATTGTTTCCACTAATACCCTGGAAGATTTTATGAAATTTAATGAAGAATCTTGGAAATCGAAAGCTTCCCTTGTGAGCGACTGAATCTGGAAAATTCCCCTGAGTAGCTTCATGTTGCATCAGAGCATCCGTCAGGTTTTTTTCCCCCCACTTTTGGTCTGTAGTGCCCAGACACCCCATGATCCTCCTCTTCAGAACTTAGATGGCGAGTCCCAGCCCAGAGGACTGAGTCAACTGGTAGTTGGTGACCCGACCAGTCGCTAGCCGGGAGGCATTGAATGAACGCTTTATAGACACAAAGAAAAGACTAAAAAACATTGAATATTTGACAAATATATTGAAATGACTGGGTTATTTCTGTTATTTTCTTTCTTTTTTTTTTTTTAAAGCGTGCAGTTTTTGTTTATTTGTAAATGTGGATCCACAATTGTTCACTAAATTAAATTCTACCCTTTCTTATAGATATTGTTTGCTCTCTTCTGTTGTCGCTTACACCTAGGCTCCCGTGAATTTAAAATCTTCTGATCAGGTCCAACTTTCTTTATCCTTGTGTAGTGTTGGTATCAGTAATTGAAGTGAATTAACACACTTACCATCTACTATTATCAGGTGTAATTGCAGTGACCCTTCTTGTGGGTTACAGTTGTTTTATTTCTTTACTCCATTACTTTACTGTCCTGCTGAACACCAAAAAATACACTTATTTAGAGAAAGATTTCCTTTTGCAGTGCGTTTGCTTTCTACTATTGTTTGAGTCTAACTGCTAGATCTTCTTAAAAGCCATGAAAGCTGACAGGAAGCAGAGATCAGGTGATAAAACATGCTGCTTTGTTTGCTTTTGTCAGTAAACAGATCATTTTCTTCCTCAGGAGCTGCAGACAAACACTCCTCGCTACAACAAAGGTTCGTTCCACGATCGCAGCTACGTCGCTACAGACAACCAGGTGAAGTCGGCTCCAGAAGAAGGGGGCGTGTCTTTGCACAAAGGGGAGCCTGTCGGGGAATTTAACCTGGGGTCCACCATCGTTCTCCTGTTCGAGGCTCCCAGAGACTTCAGCTTCAGCCTGCAGCCCGGGCAGCGAATCAGAATGGGGGAGGGCCTCGGCAGCCTCTGATTGGCTGAACACTAATGGAAGGTGTGGTCTAAACAACGATGGAAAGGTGGAGGTCTTAAATTGGCTTCAGACTCGGAGGGCGGAGCATTGTGGAGGATATCGCAGAAGGACATGTCATGGACTCCAACTCCCAGGATGCTTTGTGCCAAAGGTCGCTCTCTCTCTGAATACTGGAATGTGTCTCTAACCCACAGCCATAATGGCCAAACGTTCTTTTAACTCGGGCATCTTCGGCCGCCGTCGTCGGTTCGAAGCAGATCAGAGGAAAGCACTGTGAGGTCATCAGTGGTATGGCCACTGATTGGCTGGAAGCTGATGACTTTGTTTACTTTTATTTTTGTAAAGTATATAAGTGTAAAAAATAAATTTCTACTTTAAGCATGTTTGTCAGTTTATCATAATAAAGCCTTGGGCTGCCGTGGTAACAGCAGGTGGAGGACGGGCCTTAAAGTCGGTGGGAAATCATATTTAAATGTTAAATCATTCTGGCTTAAACATGTATATAAATGTTCTCTTTACCAGAACATATTGTCCAAAAGTTAGAAAATTTCTATTTAAAAAAAATCCTGTCTTAAGATATTTTTTTTTTCATTATCCTCTGCAGGCCAGTTAGTTCTACGTCAGCCTGAACACCTAAATTCGGCCAATCATAAATCAACCGTCACCTGTCAATCAAATTTTTTCGGTCAAAGCATCTTTATTCATATGTCGCAACTAATACGCGCAATGGTTGAAATAAGAATAATTTCCTTCCCATTGTGTTCAACTTCGTCTTTCACAACATCTTTGTGTCGTTGTCTTGACAGTGTCGTTGCTAAATGCTACTTGGTCCCAATGGAATTTCCCATTGGGAACCTACTAGCACTAAGTTGCTAACTGGTTAGCAAGATGCTTCCGAGAAAATGGCCACAACCAAGCTAGTAGATTACTTTAACTTATAATAAAAAATAGGCCCATCACATTGCAGAGTCTTTGTGAAGTCAATGAAGTCTATAAATCATGTAATATAAGATATTATACAAATCAATGACCGTAAAATGAATGTGTTATTGGAGCACAATAATACAGATCTTCCAAAAGTGCTAAATTGATGATGTACATGTAATATACATATATTTATTATTACATTGTTATGGTAATTACACCTTACATGTCTGATAATGCATGCTATGTACATATATATATTATATGTATTTATTTATATATATAATCTGCTGCAGACAGACCTCTCTGCATAGCCGGGTGTGAAGTACTGCTGTCTTTTGATTTGTGTTTATCTGACTGTGTTAATCATTATTCCCCCAATAAATGAAAAAAAAAGTAAGAATTTATTATTATCTAGAGACTATTAATAACAGGAGGTGAAATGCAGCTCCAGACGAGGCGAGTGTGTGGTGATGTCATCAGTACGCATCAGTTCTAATTGACCCAGATTTCTGCTGCGTGCTCCCATTCTCCACATTTTCCTGTGTTCTTCTCAGGAACATACGTGGCGAGTCCATACTTGCATTCTAGTGAATTGAGAAATGGCTTAGGTCTACATGGTGGGTTACTTGAAAATGTCGGTTTATACCGACAAATCATGTGAAACTAATGTTGCACATGTGTGTATCAACTTTTTCTTATCCAGCGACTTTTTAAGGTAATTGGTGACACCACAGCCTTTAAGGGGCTACATAGCCAAGTTGCTTTTACTAATGGAAGTATTGAAGATTCCCGCTTTCCTCCTCTAAATAAAAAATGGATGACGGAGGAGACTCATCCACGACCTCCGACACTAAACTCTTCTCCTCTTGCATGTTTCCTCTGTCCATAGCGTTCCTTGACAGCGTCGTTTCTAAGTCACCAATTTAGTGCTACTTGGTCCCAATGGAATTTCCCATTGGGAACCTGCTAGCGCTAACTTGCTAACTGGTTAGCAAGATGCTTCCAACAAGCCGGGCCACAACCAAACTTGCTTGCAAATCTTCTGCCACTACAATCCCGCCCCCTTGATAATGGACCAATCACATTCACTTTATTCACTCGTTTAAAGTCGTGCACCACTAGGCATTCGAAAATGCAACGGTTGGAATGGCCGCTTCCATACAACTTTAAGTGGATTTTAATTTCATTATTTTGAGGCCTAATCACAACGGAAGTTACGCAGTCATGACAACGTCAAGCAAGCTCGTGGTCGCCAGGGTATCCTGCTCACGGCAGCAGACTGTTAATTTACAAAGTCAAATGAAAGAAACTTATTTTAAGATTTTTTTTTGGGAAAACCACCACCAAAGAGAAAAACCGCTGGTACTGCAACCATGACAACGGAGAGCACTGGAGTGAGGAGACTGTCCGCGCGGCGCAACGCCTCTGATGGCAGCTGCAACGACAGGCGCCGTCCCAGCACCCGCATCCCAACCTAGCGTGGTTGGATTAGACAAACCCTTATGGTCAACATCCAGTTTCAAATTTCCTGCATGGCGTTGTGGTAATGAAACTTTCTCACATTCTGTAGCACCGACTCAGTTTGCCAGATGGCAGTGGCTGCAATATGTGGAAGAGACTGATCATATTTTGTGCTTTTTTTTTTGTCCAAAAGCAAGTCATACCAAAGACACATTTAAGAAAGACAAACCCTTTATTGAATGCCAGCTTTTCAAATCGGAGTAAAGCCACTGAAAAATAGTTTATTGTGAAGTTTAAGCAATAAGACATAGTCAGCTGATGTCTGTGTTACAGACCCTGGATGCGTGCACTGAAGTATATATGACAATGAAGTAGTGAATCTCTATTTATTTATTTTTATCTGTTGTATTTTAAATAGGGTCATAGGTCTTTTGTCCAAAAAACAAAAAAGATTTTCACAGCAGCCCTTGTTCAGAATGACTTCCAGCGCTCCCTGGTCCTTATGTCAAAACAACTATGGTAGGAATCGTCTTGCTTCCTTTACCTCCTTCCTTACTGCAGGTACTATTCGGACAGTGGTTGTATTGTGCAGACTTCCACTTTGGCTCAAGTCTCCTTACCAATTTGCCCCATTCGTAAATCTCTCGGTTGCCCTAGAACTCCTTGAGCTTCCCCCAAAAGAGGAGAGGAGGAGATGGGATGTGAAGAGGGAAATCTGTGGGTTTCTGCAGAGGCTGCGGTCCCAGATAGGTGCAATACGACAAATATGAGCTGTTTTTATGTTTCCTCCATTTCACTTCACCAACTTTGTTTGATTTATCAAACAAAAAGATTTTGTTTCATTTACTTTTAGGATTGCTGAAGTATTTTGAAATAGATTTCTTTATATACATCTAGACCTGACCTGGCACTGATATGCATGATCTGATACCAGCTGGATGGAGATGAATCCAGATTCTTGTCCCTTCAGAGGATGTCTGTAACTTTCCATGTGTTCAGTGGTCAGAAGACAGACCAGATTTTATACCCAAAAACCTCCAACTGGTCTTTCAGGACTTCCTGTTTCAGTTTGGTTAGTCTATTAGCCCCGTCCTGGGCAGCAGAACCAGCAGCACAGCCAACAGGATGGGGTGGGGCAGCAGTTGCCATAGCGATGGAAGCGAGGCTCAGCCAACCCACCGTGCAGCCATCCGTCATCTGAAACTTCTTTGCCCAGCCAAGGCTTGTTGTTGCTGATTGCGTCTCCAGCCGGTGTCCCGTCCGTCCGAACAGAACTCCAGGAGGACGAGGAGCAGGAGACGTAGGTCTGCTGGGCCTTCACAGCCAAGAAGGAGGCCAAGTCCAGGTCCAGACCCGCCGCTCCTCCTCTAGGCCTGGGTGTGTTCTGCCGACACTGAGGACACGGGATCCACACCTGAGGAGGAAGAGGTGGAGAGCTGTTGGGTTCAGCATCATAAGTTCAATGGATCCGCCACTTCATCCTGTGAGGAAGAGGAGGGTCATCAGGTTTGATCAATGCTTGGCTGCTGATGTCACATCCTGTATGAGGAGGAGATTTTCTCCCTGACCTTTTTCAGTCCACCTGTCCTGTTGTTTTTCTAATGAAGCAGTCAGCAGAACATTAATGGGGAGATTACAGGCTGGAAAAACTGCAGAGAAAGACCCGGTTCTGTAGGTTCTACTAGGATGAAGGACTGGACCTCACCTGCTCATTGATCACCGTGTCCAGTCTCTTCAGGCAGGCCTGGCAGAAGGCGTGGCCACAGTGGAGTCGCCGCGGCAACCTCGTCAGCAGGTCGTAGCTGCCGAAACACACGATACACACCAGGTCCTGCCTCCGACCTGACAGCGTTGTCTCCATAGCAACAGAGGAAGTAGGAAGGTGGGGCTGACAGGTGTCATCCTCCTCTTCCTCGTCTTCCTCTCTCTTGTCATGGGGCATCTTCCTTGTTTGCAAAACACAAAGTGGTTAATGTCTTATTCCAGGATATGAAACAGACTGGGAACATACTGGAAATATACTGGGAACAGACTGGAAACATACTGGGAACATACTGGGATCAAACCGGGAACATACTGGGATCTGACTGGAAACATACTGGGAACATACTGGGATCAAACCGGGAACATACTGGGAACAGACTGGGATCTGACTGGAAACATACTGGAAACATACTGAGATCAAACCGGGAACATACTGGGATCAGACTGGAAACATACTGGGATCAAACCGGGAACATACTGGGTACAGACTGGAATCAGACTGGGATCTGACCAGAATGATACTGGGAACATACTGGAAACATACTGGGATCAAACTGGGAACATACTGGGAACAGACTGGGATCTGACTGGAAACATACTGGGATCAAACCGGGAACATACTGGGAACAGACTGGGATCTGACTGGAAATATACTGGGAACATACTGGAAACATACTGGGATCAAACCAGGAAGAGACTGGGATCTGACTGGAAACATACTGAGATCAAACCGGGAACATACTGGGATCAGACTGGAAACATACTGGGATCAAACCGGGAACATACTGGGTACAGACTGGAATCAGACTGGGATCTGACCAGAAAGATACTGGGAACATACTGGAAACATACTGGGATCAAACTGGGAACATACTGGGAACAGACTGGGATCTGACTGGAAACATACTGGGATCAAACCGGGAACATACTGGGAACAGACTGGGATCTGACTGGAAATATACTGGGAACATACTGGAAACATACTGGGATCAAACCAGGAAGAGACTGGGATCTGACTGGAAACATACTGGGAAAATACTGGGATCAGACTGGAAACATACTGGGATCAGACTGGAAACATCCCGGGAACAGACTGGGATCAGACTAGAAATAGACTGGGAATGGACTGGAAAAATACTGAGATCACACTGGAAACATACTGGGATCAGACTGGAAACATACTGGGATCAGACTGGGAACATACCTGGATACGACTAGGAACAGAGTAGGATCAGATTGGGAACATACTGGGAACAGACTCGGATCAGACTGGAAACATAGTGGGATAAGACTGTGAACATACTGGTATCAGACTGGAAACAGACTGGAATCAGACTGGAAACATACTGGGAACATACTGGAAACAGACTGGGATCAGACTGGAAACATACTGACATAAGACTGGAAACATGCTGGGATGAGACTGAAAGATACTGGGAGATATTGGGATGAGACTAGAAACATACTGGGAACAGACTGTAAACATACTGCAAAACATACTGGGAACAAACCAGAATGGGAACATACGGGGACATACGGGGACAGACTTCGGTCAGACTGATAACAAAATAGAAACAGACTTTGAAAAAACTGGAATTAGACCAGAAACCGACTGGGAACCAACTGTAATCAAACTGGAAACAACTCAGATTGAACTGGAAAGTAAATTGGAACAGACTAGGGACTCGATGGGAATGTGCTGGGATTAGATGAGGAACAAACCGGGAACAGACTGGAAAGAAACTGCGATTGAACTAGAAACAAATTTACAACAGACTGGGAATAAACTGCCAACAGTTTGGGATGGACTAGGGTCAGACTGGAAACAGACTGGGAACAAACAGGGAGCAAACTGGAAAATAAACTGGGATCAGACTAAAAACAAAAGGGAACAAACTGCAAAACAGGCTGGAAACAACTTAGACTGAACTGGAGACTAAGTGGGAAGAGACTCGGATGGACTTGAGTAAGGATGAGAACATGCTGGGATTAAACTTGGAAAAAAAAAACTGGGCTCCTCCAGTTAAGAATTAAATCTTCTCAAATCCCACAATCTTCTTTTTTTTCCTACACCTTGATCAACTATCAGATGCATCTAATCAAATGATATTTTCTGCCCTTCTTTCTGATTGGTTGAATAGAAACTCACCTGAGTTTGTTCTTCTTCTTCTTCACATCTTGTTTTCCTCCTTTTTCTTTGATCTTCTCCTTTCTTTGCTCTTTATTTCTTCAACTCTTGTTCTTGTTTCAGTCCCTCAACTTTTATCTAACTGATTTCTTCCTTCTCTTTTTCTCTTTTTCTGTATTTCTCTGTCAGCCTTTTATTCTATCCTTTGGTCCGTCTTCTTCTCTTCTGTTCTGTCCTTGTTTCTGTCCTCTCAGAGCAACAGAGAGAGAGGGACTCTCCTTTATCAATAATTCAGCCTCGTTCAACCAACACACACCAACAAGTTGAAACCTGACTCTGAAACAAGGACCGCACATGAAGATGATAAACATGGAAAAAAAAAATTTGGTATTTAGTGAAACATCCTCAGAGAAGGTTTGGATCAATAGACAAACTTATTGATCCGGATGAGCTGCTGGTATCTGATAAACTCCCAAACAGGAGCAGCTTTATAATTGATTCCTCCTCCTGGAACCTGAAGCCAATAGAAAGTGGAACTGGGCTCAGGTTTCTGGAGGTGTCGTCCTATCAGGTGTCGGTCGAGCCGCACTGTTTGGTGACTGAAGGTTAAAGCAGCAGCGGAGAAACCGGTTATAAAGTATTGACGACTATCTGATCACTGCTTCAGGAGCTGCTGGACTCATTCTAAGCCTGAATCTGGTTTTTAGGGAAGATCTTATTTTTTTCCAGTCAGAAGATCACTGAGTACATCCAGAAACATGGATAAGCAGCATTTAGTTCTTATGCTCCACTGATGTGGAACAAACTTCCAGCAGAGTGTGAATATGATGAAAGGTCAAGTTCTTTAAAGTCAGCGTTAAAAACCAATTAGTTTAGAGCAGGGGCGGATTTAGGAAATTTGGGACCCTAGGCAAAGATGGGCAGGGGGCCCTCTGAACTGAGAAGACAACACATAAAAGAGACCCATTATGCAGATGTATAATTTTGTTGTAGATGTTGTTTTCCTCTCTATGTTTTGTACTCAGCTGACTTTTCATGCTGTCTCTAAAGGAATGAAAGATTTTTTCCAAGCACTAAGCTCACTTAGCTGATTGCTCCTTCCTGTGTTTCCAAAAAGGCCAAAGTAAATAACCCAGTCCTTCTTTTCACTGTAGACAAGCCATGATCTGCTTATCTGTTCTCCATTTTTCATTTGGATGAAATAATAGCTGCATGAATCATGACAGCAGACAAGATAGAGGATAGCAGGAGGCGGGGTTACCAATCTACTCGCTCTGGAGAGCAGAGTTCGCTGCTTTTAGATGTTGTCTCCAAAGTCTCCAGTAGCAGAAAAAAGTCTCTAGATTTGGCGCTAAGAGCTTTTTGAAATAGAGGGGTCTGAAAAGTTGCTAAATATAGCGACTAAAGCGCTAAGTTTGTTTTCAAATGGTTTGCTGCTGTCTGTTTGGACCTTTCTAAACATGTGCAGCAAATGGACTGATCCAATATGGTGGACACTGAAGGGGGGGGGGGGGTCTCAGACACACTTAATATTATTAACATTCTGATGGCATTTTAGCAAAAGTATTTTTATCAAAAACAATAAAAGGAATAGTTGTATTAACTATGTATGTAAACAGAGTTTTATGGGGCCCACAGGAACATGGGGCCCTAGGCACCATTAGGGATTTGCCTAATGGTAAATGCCCCCCCGGTTTAGAGCTGCCTTTGACTGTTAAAGTCGAACAGCTAACTGGGGTGTTATTAGTTTAAGGTTGGATTCCATCTGTTTGTTTGCTTTTATCATGTTTTCATCTTTACTTGTTTCCATTGTGTTTTTTATTTTTCTTCTGTTTTATTCTTTAATTAATTCATATTAAGAACATTGAATTGTCCTTATCCTAGATTAAGCTGTATCAATAAATCTGGCTTGCTTTGAGTTTGGATCTTTTATTGGTGCAGAACCTTTAAATCCACAAGCAGCCCGTTCATTCTGGTCAGTTGAGTGGAAAATTATTTATCCTCCATTAATGTTTTTAAATCATCAAACCAAAGAAAAAAATTTGCCAGAATAAAAACATGAAACACTTCCTTTATGATGTCTTTCATTCAAGGAAAGATGATCCAATACAGCCTGAACATGTCTTCAATCACAAACTGTTATGAACTGGGGCTTTTATCCGGGGCTCCTCCAGTTTGGGCAGCATGAAGTAGGCTTAAAGAACTCAAATGGCAAAACATTAACCTCTTAAAACCCACCAGGGTTGCCTGGTGACGTCATAAACGCGCCGCTTTGTTTTTAAAAGATATAAATATAAATAATATAACCGCAGATGTCTGGGGGACAGTGATTGGCCTACATGTTATGAATGCTGGTGTACCATAAATGATAAATTATGAACAGTTCAGTTTGTGCCTTCAAGTCGTTGCCCATAGGAAGACGTTACTTGGATACAGAGATGGCAAAAGTACTCACTTTCCGTACTTGAGTAAAAGTACAGATACTTGTGTTAAAAAATACTCTGGTAAAAGTGGAAGTAAGTGGAAGTACTGATTAAACTTCTTTACTCAAGTAAAAGTAACAAAGTACAGGCTTGTAAATTTACTTAAAGTATAAAAGTAAAAGTAGAAACCACTTTTTTCATGCCGTTACCTACATTTTAAATGGATGTCGTCCATGCTACTATGCTAACGCCACCGCCACCAAGCTGCAATGATTTGCCGCCAATGAATACCGCCGAATCTGTCGATTCATCTTGTAGTGGTGCGTCGAATGCAACGTAGATTCCCATCCAATTAGATTGAATTTGGTATTGATGACGTGAAAAATAATAACGGTAACTCCATTGAAATGATTCAGAACTAAAGTAACGAGCCAATTTTTTAAAATGTAAGGAGTAGAAAGTACAGATATTTGTGTAAAAATGTAAGGAGTAAAAGTAAAAAGTCACCATAAAAATAAGTAGTAAAGTAAAGTAAAAATATCAGAAAAATCTACTTGAGTACAGTAACGAAGTATTTGTACTTTGTTACTTCCCATCTCTGCTTGGATAAAACCTAACGGAATATCATCAGAACGGCTCCAAATGACACAAAACTCATATGGGTGAGTAGAACATGATGGAATAACGTAAAATCAAGGGCCCAATGTAAAAAGCGGTATTCCCCTTTAAGTGGGGGTAATAATTCAGAATGCATAAAATTCCACCAGTAAAATTGAACCCCAGTCGGCGCGCAGCTCCAAGCTGACACCAAAAGTCCCATACCCCACAGCTCTGGAACTGTTATAGCTAGAGGTCTGAAATTGTCTGCATTTGTAGTTGACATAATGTACAACTAATATAATACAATAAAACCTGACTTTTTTCAAGAATGTCTTTAGTACTGTTGTTCAAAAAAGACCTATCATTTCCAAGAATAAAAAACAACAACTTCCTGTCATGTTCAAATTGATGAAGGTTGGTCTGTGTTCTAGTCACCCAAATTTATATATTAGGAAACTATATGGTTTTAGCTTTAAAATAATGTATTGCACATGTAATTTGGGCTTACAGTTCCTAAGTATGCAAAATAGGCGAGGATTACCCAAAATGAGGTGGATGTTAAGAGGTTAAGAAAAGATGGCTACTGAAAAGGGTATAAATCCCACAGAACCTTGATCCACACATGAGAAAAATCTGATACACTGGAAAACCTTCCTAGGACAAGCCGACCTACCAACGTTGCTCCAAGAGAACAACGATGACTCATCCAGGGGGTCCTAGAACAACATCTAACTGCCTCAGCTAAGGTCAGAGGTCACGATGATGGCCTCCATATTTCCCCCAGCATGTGTGGACATCTAAGACACAGCTATACCCTTAAGAATGGTGTGTGTTTAATGACACAGCTGTGCTAAAACTAACACCGTACCACTTACTGACAATCAAACATGGTGGTGGTGGAGTCATGGTATGGGACTGCTTTACTGATTCTGGACCTGGAGGACTTTCTGTAATTAAAGAAATGTCCCTCTATCATTTCTAGCCTTAATTTCCTGCTCAGCTACAGCAGGGATCTAAAGAAGGGGTTCCCAAAGTGGGGATCGGGACCCTGCAGGGGGTCACGAGACACCAAGTAGAGAGTCACAAGATGGTTTTCACAATCACTGATGTGGTTCCTGATGTTTGGCGGGGCAAAATATAGTATGAAATACAAACCTAAAGAATACCGCACTCCCTATGATTAAAACCTTTACTACGTAATGTGGTCGGAAAATTCAGATTTCACTTATTTCATATATTGATTTAAGCTATTTACTAACTATAAAGGAAGATGTCCTTCTTCCCATAACAAACCAGATTCTTTCTCAAGGTTTATTCATAACATGTTACTGTTTATCTAAATTTGTTTTGACTCTGACTACTTTCCTTTATTGGAACTAAGGGGGAACGAACGCTGCCCAGATCAGAACAGGGTTGATTACCTCGCAATAAAGGCCGTATGATGAACTGTTAAAAGTTTTTTCAGTGTTTAATTTCACTTTTTTTGTAAACACATCTTATCTGCTTGACTTTTCTTCACTGGGTCTGATGATGAATTTCTGCTCTGTTGGACCATCCCATCCCTCCAGACGCAAAGTGGAACAAACAGCGCCCCCTGCTGGGTTAACCTATTAATGAATTCAGTGTTTTAGTTCTTTGCTTCTAGTTTGTGCTTTTATATTTGAGACAAACATGACGTAAACAGACAAAACACGCAACTGATCTGTTTATTTTGTTCTTTGTCTACAATGACTCGCTGATGGAAGATTCTGCTTAATTTATGCTAGAAAAAAATCCTTCATGTTGAAAATCATGATACAGAAAACAAAATTATCTTCCTCAGAATTCAGAAATAAAACATAAATATCTCAACAAAACCAGCAGCAGAAAAATAAATCAGAAAAATCAAAAATAACTTGAATTAAAAACAAGATAAATGTGTTTTACAGACATATCATTGAATATACATATATAATTATTTTTAAGGTGGACGTTTCTTGTTATGGACGTGAAAATGTATCTATTTTGATATTAGCTTTAAATTAAATAGCTTGTTTTCTTGTTGTGTTTGTGGAACATATTTGATCAAAAGTAAAAAACCTTTTTTTCTAATGTCAAATAAATCTTAATACAAAAGAAAAAATGTAAATAGTTTTTCGAGTCTTAGTTTATAAAATAAAATCCTTAAATTGGGTCTAATGTATGAAATGAAAAGATATTGTGTGGAAACTTGGCGGGGAAATTATTTAAAGCTTTTAACAGGAAGCTTTCATTCATCAGGTGGAGTTGTCATGGCAACAACAGAAAGGCAAACCATCCTGTGTTTAAAGCTTTTAAAGAAAATACACATCTAAATTAAACCAAAGACCAAATGAACACAGGATAGTCCTCCTGTCCCTAACAGTCCCACTCAAGGTTTGTAAAGGTTTCCAGATCCCCTCCTTCATGGGCGGTTCTAGA